TGTTGTTTTTGCCAGCGAACAATTGTCTAGTTTACGATACATCTCGGAATAATGTCACTATGCACTACACCTCCATTCATGACTCCGCCATTTTGTATCTTACCTCCAGACTCTGGGCAGTCGGCTTCATCGCTGTCGTCCATGCAGTTCTTTTTGCCGTCGCAAATCTGATTTTCTTTCACACACGATTTTTGATCTGCACATATGTACGGATAGCCTTTCACCATACATAGGTCAGTATTTACCTCTAGTCGAGCCACCCTACCTAAGAAGAAAAACATTTATGCAAATGATATAATTAATATGCAACATGCTAATTTACCTGTTTACATTACATGTTTAATTTCCTGACATCATTTCAATGCAAAGTAGACGGTGAGTGCTAAGTCTTGTTGGATTATGTCACGTGTTATCATATGCGTGACATATTCTTGAGGACGGAGGTTCGTCACAAGTTGTCTCACGTTGCTAAGACCACCACTGTACCACGTATTTCCATGGGCTATGCGCGAGCTGCTGTGAAACGCCGGTTGAAGAGCCGGTGAGAATAGCTAAACAACACAAACTCAACTTTTAAGTAATCCTGAACAACCAAATTTATATAGATAGTATATGTTGCACACGCAGGGGTTATATTGGTTCACTGTTCAGGGGAATCTCAACAATCATCCCAAAGTACCGTTTTCTGATAGTTTTCGGCCTTTGTTTTCACCGTGGCGGTTGCCGCGGGTGAAAATACCCGGATGTCCGCCCGAGATTAATTAGCAACGTCACAGTTAGACTTAGTGTTTCATTATTTTATTGCCTAGTGCCAGCCCCTTCATGTAATAACTGTGGATTTGTGTTCGCAGTAAGCGCCATTCCAGTTGTTATACTAAATAATAGAGTGGCCGTACTTGAAACTTAGATCTCGGCGTCCAATTTCAGTCTGCATATTTTTAACATTTTAGGCAATAAATTATTGATATAATTGTTACGAAGTTTTAAAAATCACGACAAACAAGCTCATATTGACTGAGGCAATAAATCATCATGCTGCAATGACGTCACTGGGTCATTAACCGGTTTAGCCACTTTCACTGAACTATCATGGCACCAACAGAAAAAAGAAGTTTTACTCCAAATAAAAAATCTGCAAAATATTTCCCTAGTATATTGTGTGTTCATCATTACGTAATGTCCACCAAACCCAAACTGCTGCTTCATTTTATTGATAATTAATTATCAAGTTGACTCACAAAATAACTACGTCACGGTGAATTTTTGTTCCACATAAGATGCTTATAAATATGATAAAATAAAGATAAACAAACAAATTTCAAATATCAACATCGCGGTGAGCTTAGTTATTTGAATATAGTTATTCATTTTGTTGCGCAACAACAGTATAGTAAATCAGTTTCCAACGTCATGATGTCATCAAGTTAGCGGTGATTACGTAATATTCAGAATTACAGTATGGTAGCATCTGTTAGTATTCAACATATAAAAATATCTCAGTAAGTGTCATCTTGTAATTATAATCCGAAATAACAAATAGAAATCGATTTAAACTTGACACATTGCGTACGCGTTATTTTCGAATGTTTTAACACATTTGTATATTCAAAGTTTAAGATATAAGATATTCCTGTCTCTACATATTATGGGACTGAATTCATGAAATGCGACAATATGTTACAGCCAATGAGAGAGAACCTTTCTTGATGTTACAACCAATGAGAGAGAACCTTTCTTGATGTTACAACCAATAAGAGAGAACCTTTCTTGATGTTACAACCAATAAGAGAGAACCTTTCTTGATGTTACAACCAATAAGAGAGAACCTTTCTTGATGTTACAACCAATAAATAAGAGAGAACCTTTCTTGATGTTACAACCAATAAGAGAGAACCTTTCTTGATGTTACAACCAATAAGAGAGAACCTTTCTTGATAGCAGTCTGATTTTTTGCTGACCCGAAGAAAACTGAATGTGATTTGGATAGTCACAAAATTCGCATTTTACATAAAACATTTAAAACACGTAAAATGAGTGTTGTGTTAGTTTACTGTGAACTGATTGCAACTGTTCTTACCCCCTGCCAGTGTGTCTCGTTCAGGTCTCACTGCAGGGACGGCTGCCTCCACCACCTACAGAAAATCATACAGTTAGGTTAGGCATTCAACAAATCATTAAATGACAATAATCCTGAGATTTTACCACATTTTCAGATTTTTTCATTTTTTAAAGGATTTCTTTTTAAAAGACTCCACACGTAGTGGAAAGTGTAAAACTCGAGTAAATATAATTCCATTGATGGCATATGTTTCACCTTTCTTTTTTTTCTGGGCTGGGCGTCACTTTTCAGAAGGGTGAAATCGAAATGTCAATATAACAGTGAATTCGGTTCATCTTAAATTTGAACAAAACACATTTATTTGGGAGTAATTTTGTTTTTCAAGTTCATGGTACCATGTGGCACAGTTTTTTTAGTAACCGTGCATGTGGCCATGCCAATGTTCAAAGCTACCAGTAGACATAATTTGATACGAACAAACTGCTCTCTGATTGGTCTGTTAGGTGTTGTTTGGGTACCTAATCAGAGATAATCTTGTAAGTAGCATTGGCACAAATATTAGTGTTTTTGGTCATGGCATGAATGCACCCGAATCCGGTAAACACTCTTTTCTGTATTTTTGTCAAAATATTTGAAAAAAAACACATAAAAACTTCAAAAAACATATAATAAAACATATAGACCGAAAAATGTTTTTCCCAGTCTGGGTCTGCGGTGTTTAAGCTGGGATTGAAAACAACAGAAACAACCACAATGACAATACATAATGTAGCCACGTGCACTGGAGAAACTTTCACTAGACCGATTAACACACAAAATCAGCAAATGAGTACTCAGTATAAACTGACTAATCTAAAACAATAAATAATGTTATAAACACTTACGAGAAAAACCACCGCGTATAGCACAATGTTTACAGGACGTTTCCACTTCATTACATTACCAGAAATGTACGGAATAGCATAGAATGCAATTGAACTGTCACCGGAAACTACCACTATTTAAATACCATGTCAAACAATGTAAACTGCAAATGGTGGCTATTTTTATCACTCTATTTTTGTTTCTGTAAAAGTAACAACGTCATCCTCAAACGACATAACGGCATATAGTCAGCAGGTTCGTCCTTATAAATAAACCCTCATATTGTTTTGTTTAATTTGACCAAAATACAGTAGTTAAATTATTAGCAATATATGTCGCATTTGTATGTTTTGTCGTCGTCGTATTTGTTTTGGTTAGCGACGAAATTATATACTTTAATGGTGCCAGTAACTATTTGAGTTGTTATTGTTTTGTAGATTTTTTTTGGACTTTTTCAGAATGCAGTACCACGACAAATAGCAAAACAATATGCCGGAAACTTTTGACAATGCAAGGCGTTCCATTCATACACACCGCGAAATAGTCACGTGTGTGAGGTATGTACATGTTCAT